GCCCCGATAGGGGTTTAATGTACTTGATTACCTGCACGTGCGTAATGTGATACTTACTGCAAACTACTACAGAGAATATTGTTATTATTGTATTATTACTTATGTAAGATAGTATGTCAATTTCTTGTGTTGCGATCACAATAACTGAGCGCGTCTCGCAGGTTCTTCACGAGATCAAAATTCGAAATTTCGATTGTCTCTCAACCCTATCGGGGCACGAATGATTTGAAAACCGTCCGTTGCTAAATATTAGCGCCCCGATAGCTTCTAAATAATGGCTAAACAGGTCACAACAACAGCGGTAAATCGTGCGAATTCAGCTCGTGCAAGATTACGATTTACAGCAATACGCTAGCAAATGTATTATGTAAACGAATATCAGTACCATGAAGGTGAGTGATTAGTGGTCATAATAAGCTGAGGAACGTATACACTTGCTTCTTTATTGGTGGCAAATTTTGATGAGAAAAATCGGTTAAAAATGCGGGATCGCTTCTTTATTGGTGGCAAATTTTGATGAGAAAAATCGGTTAAAAATGCGGGAATCGGTTGTCTCACTCTTGTGTTATTATCTACTCTTGTTATAACACAAACCACGTGACAAAATATGCAAATGATCTCCTGTACCGGCCTGAATATAGACAAACCCTTGTCAATTACGGTAAATGCGTGATCCACGTGCTCTCATTGGTTGCATTGCTTCCTATTGCATTGCTGTGTGTACAGCTTTTACCTATTAGCAATAATGATAACCACTGACTACCAGTTTCTAGAGCATAAACAGACATTTATACAGCAATGCCCTCTACGTTTAGATTAAACAAGTGCCGCTGCATGACAAATCTCATTTGGTGCTAGCTGTTGCAGCTGTGACCAACTGCAGAACTACCAAGATCACAGGTTCCCTAAACAATGTCACTCAACTGAAAACAAGAGTTTACTTTAGGTTTTTAAAATTCTGACTGATTGCAGACAACCTTACACGCCATGAACTTTCGAGAAACAGAAAGATGTCAGAGAAAAAATCGTTTTTTAATTGATGATATTTTTCATCACTAAAGCTCTGCATCTTGAACATGAAATGTTAAGGCTAATGCAATCACTAGATCAAAGTTGAGCACTTTGCCTGAGGGTTCTCTTAGCTATTCTTGTAGAAAGAAATTTCTTTTAATTTTCCAATAAAGTAATGGAAAAACGAAACAGATTTTAAAAAAAGGGTTTGCCGTAACATTTCCGGCAAAATAAATGGGTTGAACTCAGTCATGAATTCTACCATTGACCTTTTTATGTTTGATTCTTTTGCCATGTAGAACATTGCACTGCTACACCCCAGAGTTCCTTAACACGTGCCAACCATGTTGCAAATTAAAAACTTTGGTTGCAAGTTGTAATAAAAAGTAAGTACAGCTGTATTTTCAATGCTAAATGTATTCCTTAAACATGTCTAAACAAGAGCAGCAGAGCGTCTGGGCTCATCTGAGGTCTGTTTTTACAGTTATAAACGTAACATTTAAGTCGTGCGTAGTGACACCTTTGTTAGGCGCAGATACGCAGTTGCGTACACATCATTTCAGCAACCTTACTGCATTCTGCATACCTCCCAAATCCCATTGGTTGATACAAATCGCGTGCCTAAAACTCCTGTTTTATGGTGCATTGTGACCCTAACCCTAACCCTATTAAAAAAAATATTTAATTGTTGTAAAAATTATTTGTTGTTATGAAATTTTTGTAAACATTATTTTTTATGAAATTGTTGTAAATAAATCATGTAAATATTTTCCTTAATTGGAAAGAAATAGTTAAATGGATAAAGATAAAAAAATACAGAAAACACGTAAATAATAACAAGTGCCGCAGAGCGACAGCGCTCAACTGACGTGTACTGTAGCCAGGTATTCTTCTGATAAACTCACTGGCAACCGAATCAAGTGCGCCCTCCTGCCACCGCGTTCGCGCTCAGAGCATATATCTAGGATACTACTAATAAAGATCTAAAATCTATGATAGGCTTTGCTATACCTACAGCTAGTCCAGTAATAAAGATACAGCCTGGGTACTTAATGACTTTTGCTATGATTAACATGTTATCAAGGATAGCGCGTCGAGCGCGAGCAAGTAGTGGTGGTGGTGGGGTGAGGGTGGGGCGGAGGAGGGCAGGTAGGGGAGAATGGGGGACAGGGTGGGGAGGGGTGGGGAAAGTGGGGAGGGGAGGGTGGGCGGGAAGGGGGCTCTAATAGCAACAAGCTAGTCAGTCTGTTGTTACAGCTCAACAAATCCATGTTTAACCCTCTCTCTTAGGGCTAGGTCAAAGGTTAATCCGATCCACTTATCTCTTCGCATGTCAGAGGAAAGCTACATTTCCCCATGCGTCCTTTCAATAAAAGCCATGAAAAATGGTAGGTCACCCGCTGAACGGAAAAGTTTTTCGAATCGCTCCGTCAGACCATGTCCTCAGAAAATGTTCTAAATTGCCCTGTGCCCCATTGGACCTTTGACCTGTTGACCTCCAATTCGGCACAGTGATGGCTTTTCCTACCATGAGCTATACACCGACTATCACGAGCCTAAGTCGAGCGTTTAGATTTGTGCCGCCAATTCTGCATTTCCTCACCATACCTTAAGTTAAGGAGGGATGTTCCCCCTTCTTTACACCTCTTGACCTTTGCCCCCAGCTTCGACATCCCAACTCGTTTTCGGATTACGCCCCCAATATCGTGACCGTACGTCGAGCGGTTAAGATTTGTGCCCAACTTCAGTGCACGGACGGACGGACAATCATGCGATTCTACAAGCTGAGCAAAAAAGTGAGAAAAAAGCCATTCAAGTTTTTGTACATGTGCACAAATAACTGTACATTGTTCATTTTAGTATTTAGGAAAAAAATGAAACTGCAAATTCAGCAGTATGTTATAAATTAACTTTGACTGATAAGCAAGTTTTAATTTAAATCTTTGTACATGATCAATACAATTTTCCGCGAGCACCAATTAATGTGAACTACATGCTCTAAGTTATAACCAGCAATATTCAATTGCTTACTTGTTTTAATTTGATAACAGGGTCCTCTGATAGTTCTAGGATACTAGCATATATAAAGGATACATTCTTGTAGAGCATTTGTTTGAGCATTTTTGCAGGAACTGGAACCAAGAAACGAGCAGTTCCAGTTGAGAAACTGACCAAAGAACACAACAGACACAACAGTCACATAGAAAAATCTAAAACTCTTGTACTGTGATTGCATAATATTTACACTATGTAAATATTCTGTGCTAACAATTTATAATGAAAATTAATAAAACATTTTCAAACAATTTCGAAGCCGCACAACAAAAAGCAAGCAAT